TTGTGTTGTCTTGTTCGTTTTTGGAACAACTGATATACCTTGCTTACCTTGAAGCATTCAGGTACACATAGTTAAAGGTCTTATCATGCCAAGAATTGCTGTATGGGAAGTAGTGCTGAACAGTTAACTATAAGCATACCACATTGAATAAGACCTAGAATTGTTTATTTTGTAATTGTTGGTACAAGCCTTGTGTAACAGATGTAAAGTTTACCTCCCCGACAAACAAGGTTGTGTCAGAACCAGTGTGCATGTTGTAGAATGCCCTGAATTAACAAGTAGAGATACAGGCACAGGAGAGGCTGTTGTTGCCTACAGGGTACTGAGTGAGGGGGGGCTGGCAAGCTTTCCCTGAGCGTACCCACTGGTTAAATTGGAACTAGGGGAAAATTGAAAAAGAAATGGACTTTTTAATTGACACTGGAGCAGTTTTAAATCAAGAATTAGTGCCAAAAGGTGATGAATTTATTCAAGTAATGGGAACCACAGGCCAATCAGAAAAAGCTTTCTTTTTGAAACCCCTAAAATATAAAATTGGAAAACAAATGGGGATTCACCAATTATTATATTTGCCTAATTCTCCAAAGCCCCTTCCAGGTAAAAACTTGCTAGAAAATCTGGGAGCTGTAAGAAAATTTGATAAAAGCAAACTTGAATTTCAAGTAAACCCTAAGCCTGACTGTCAGAAAAAATTGTAAGTGAAGCTTACCCCTTAGTGTGGGCCACAGATATCCCTGGGAAATCAAAGCAAGCTGCCCCAGTAGTTATAGAGTTAAAATCAGGAGCAAAACTGGTACATAGAAAACAATACCCATTAAGGGAATTGAACCCATAATAGAATGTAAATCACATGGTCTTACCTCAAAGGTTTTAAACCAGTCCCACAATATTTGGAAATCAATTAAGGAATTGGAACAAAGGGAACGGCCACAGGGAGAGGGTGTTTTTCTACAATATGTAGATGATTTACTCACAACAACTAAAACTGAAGAAAAATTTATAAAATGGACAATTTAATTGTTAAATTTCTTGGGACTAAATGGATATCGAGTTTTCCCAACAGAAAGCCCAACTGGTGCAAGAAAAAGTGGTATACCTGGGATACGAGATTTCTGGAGGACAACGATCCCTGGGAACGGAAAGGAAAGAAACCATCTGCCAGATGCCCAGACCTGACACGCCTCATTTCTAGAAGGAAGAATGCCAGCACAGCCTGTCGAGCATGACTGCCTGGAAACCATCGAAGCTGTGTATTCCAGCCGCCCGGACCTTACAGAAGGACCGCTTGAAGACGCGGAAGACTGGTTCACTGATGGCAACAGCTTTACGAAGCATGGAGAGACACTGGCAGGTTATGCAATAACCACAACAGAACAGGTAATCGAATCAAACC